TAACCTGGTGCTGGGGACAACTGGTAAACAAAGCTATGTACGGCAGGCCCAGGATTTCAAGTAGAGCTGCTTCGTAAAGGAAGTAACGTTGGAGGGAGCTTGGAGGGAGCTTGGATATGTTTTGAGCTGATTTTCAAATTGTTGCCTTATTTCCTTTTCCTCCTCCCTCTTCTTTCCTTCTCCGCCTTCCTTTCCTTATTCCTGTACCTTGCTTCACCACTTTGGGGTTTTTTTTAAGCTTGGGAATTTTTCCTGCAATTTTTAAATGGATTTTAGAAAAGAATTCATCCAAATTTAGAGCAACTTGGAGTTGCTTGGAGAGGACTTGGTGAATCAGTACATGCAGCGTCTTCTTCCAGAAGTGTGGCATGCCAGAATGCCTGCCACGCCTTGGCCACACCTTCCAGACTGTGGCTTTTGTGTCCTTGGGCCCAGGTGGGTGTCCATCTCCCTGGGGCTTGGAGCCGCCCCTTCAGGGCTCCATTTCCACTTGCCAGGTTCCTGCCTGCACTGCGGCCCTGACCCAGTTCTCCACTCCGTCTATCTGCCGCTTGGAAAAGAAAACAATGACTTTGTGCTGACAGTGGTCATTTCTGTCACCAATCAAGCAGGGGACAGACAGCAGACCCATGCAACCGCCAAGGTGGGTAGTGGTGGCCGCTTTTATTTCAGGAACTTCTCTACCTCTCTGAATGTCACCACAAGGTGGCTGGGAGGAAGGCAGCTAGATAGCCAGATGAATCACCGATCCACTCACTCCTTCGATAAATATTCACAGAGCATCTGCTATGCGTGCGCCAGGGCCCGATGACACACAGGCACGGTCTTGGGAGCTCTTATGACTTAGTGGCCTAAGTCCCTGGAGCAGGGGTGGACTGGAGCTGAGGAGCAGGCACGAGTTAGACCCGCACCCTCAGGGTGTATAAGGAGAAGGCTGGAGATTAGATCCCACGCGGACTCCAGGCAGAGCCTGGATAAAAGCCCAGGACGCGCCAGGGTCAGCAGCAGAGACGAGGGACAGAGCACAGATGAAGAAGGACCTAGAGGCGGGGCAATGGCTCGTCCAAGCCTTGGCCTTGGTGACCAGGGGCTGCCTGGTAGCCGTGGGTGTGCTGCCCTCAGCCTCAGGAAGCACCCAGCCCAGGCCCACTGTGACGTCAGGCGCCAGGCTCTGGGACGGGGACCACTGAGCTCACCCCTTGTTTCCCCATCAGGTGGGACTTGGCGACACTTGTGTCGAGGATGTGGCATTGCAGGCTGCGGTGCTGGAGAAAATCACTGCCACCCTGCAGGGTGATGGTGGCCCCGAGCGGCTTCTCCAGCTGGCCAAGTCTGTGTCGTCCGTGCTGAACCTGAGCCCGGGCTCTGGGCCATTCCTGGAGGCGGACACTAGGCGGAAGGTGGGGCCTGGGCTCTGCGTGCAGCCCCTTGGGGTGGGAGTGAGGCTCACAGACCCTCGAGAAGACGCCGTTAGCGCCTCCCAGTGGCCGGCGTGGTCCCCCTCGCCAGTCCTTCCGGCAAGTGACCTAAAGCTAAGAAAACGCCTTCTTGGCTGGTAACCTGCCTTCTCTGTCTCTCACTGTCACGGGGTCACAGGCTTCTGGAACTGGAAGGGAATTTTATTGTAAAAAGATTGCGAAAAGTGATTAGATCCGTCTTTACCACCAGTGGCACAAGCCGCCCGAGGGGTGGTTCGAGCCAGCGGGAACGGGTGAAGACCTGGGCGGCTCTGGGGGCGCCGTGCTGCCTGCCCACATCCCCTGAGCGAGCGCGGGTGTATGGGGTGTGGAGCCTGGCCGCTCCTCTGACCCCAGATCTTCCGGAAGCACCTTCATGGAGCCCCTGGAATGATGCCTTCTCCCCCGTCTTCCTCCCCGTGCCAAGGTTAGAGAGCGTGTGCTGGGCTCGCTGTCCACAGTCTCGGCCAGCCTGGAGGACATGCAGAGCGTACAGAGGCTGGCCGAGGTGCTGAGAGAGCTGACCCACCACTCTGAGCTCATGCCCGCGGCCCGGGTGAGTTTCCCCCTGCTGAGCCCGCCACGGAGCACCCCCTGCACGACCGGTGGGTAACAACCCGGCATAGGTCAAAGGTCGGAGGGGCCGCTCGGCCGCTGGCTCTCCTAGGGCTGCCAGGACTCCTCTGTCTTCTTTTCCCTGGCACCCCTCTGGAAGCCCCCGTGTCCCACACCAGAAGCGACTTCCTGTCTGCCCGCAGTCCTTGCCCCACCGCTGCTGAGCAAAAAGAGGGCAACTGGAGGGGGCATCTTCAGGCCAAGGGGAAGAGGGAGATGCGGCTGCTGCCTGGCCCTGTCCCCCAGCTCAGCACACACCAGCCTGTCACCCAGAGGACCTGCCTCTCTAGCCTGGGGGTCCTCCGTGCCTCCACCTGCCCTTGGGGTCGGGATCCATGCCATACTCAGCGACCACAGGCAGAGTGCAGACACCCCGGCTCGCTCGCCCTCCTGTGAGTCACACCCGGCAGGACGGAGCCCGGGCAACAGGCTTGGTCTCACCTCCTGCTCTGACTCCCAACCTTTCACACATTCATTCACTCAACAAAGTGCTTCTTGAACGCCTGTGTACCAGGTACAAGACTCACTGGGAATGCAGAAGCAAGTCACACACAAGGACTCTGCCCTCCTGGCACTTTCAGATATCAGGGAAGCCAGACATTAAACAAGTAATTCAACAAACAAATGTAGCAAATTTGGAATAAGTGCTATGTCTGTCCATCTGTTCATTCATCCATCCATTTATCCATCTTCTATGGGGCTGGGGATTTAGCTCAGGGGCACAGGGCCTGCCTGGCAAGCGCAAGGTCGTGAATTTGATTCCCGGTACCAGAAAACAAACAAACGAACAAAAAAAGTAAATATCCATCTTCTATGCATCCAACTATCACCCATCTATCTGTCATCCATCCATTCATCATCCGTCATCCATCCAACCATCATCCATCCATCTTCCATTCAACCATTTTCCATCCATCTCCCCATCTCCCATCTTCCATCCATTCATCCATCCATCACCCACCTTCCATCCACCCGTCTATCCATTGTCCACCCATCCTTCTTCCGTCCATCTTCCACTCGTCCCCCTGGGCAGCAATGTTGCTGGATGCCCACTGTGGCCGCCCCTGAGGCCATGGCGGTGTTTGAGGCTCTCTGGGAAGGATGCAGAGACAGCCTGGCTACACTCCTGCAGGAACTTACAGCCTCATAAAGAGGCAGGACCTGGTTTCGTGTCAGGGATCCAGGCAGTTCGTGCGATGCTGGCATGGCCCTCCTGCTCCCCTCCACCACAGCCCTCGTCCCTTGGGAGGCACAGGGGTGGTCCACGCGGGCAGGGGCTCACGCTGCTCTTCCTTCTTTGGGTGAACCCTCCGGCAGGCCAGCCAGGCTCTGTACCTCGCCAGCGAGGCCCTGTTGACAGCGAGTGCCACAGCCCGTCCTGAGGACAGAAGGCGCCAGGTGGCCACCAGGGACCTGTTTGTGGCCGTGGGAAGTGTACTGGACGTGTCCCTGAGCTACAGACCAGAGGAGCCCGGGGAGACCAACGCCAGCCAGGTGGGCGTCCCTGGCCGGATGTGGGCTTCACAGCCACTGTGTGCCCAGCTCACATCAGCATTCCTGGCTGGATCTTTTCCCCATCTCACAGATGAGGAAACTGAGGCAGAGAGGCTGCAGTGCTTCCCACGGAGCTGGAGGAAAAGCTCCAGAGAGCAGCACCACGGGGCAGCGAGGGAGGCAGTGTGGGGTAGTGGGCAGTGCATGGCTCTGGGACCAGGCAGCCTGAGCCTGACTCCAGCGCCTGTCACTCACAGGCCTTGTGCCGCAGGCAGTCACGCAACTCCCGGAAGCCTCATTTCCTCGTCTGTACATGGAGGTCCCTGACTCAGCCCTCGTGAGCCCCAGTCGGGGGGTCACACGCACCCCCGGAGGTCTGCGTAAACTCCTGGCTCGTTTGACAAGAGTACAGCCTCTGAGAGCGGCGTGCGCGGGACGCGTGTGCCCCTCAGTCCCCGCGATGGGCACAAGGGTGCAGGAGGAACTGGGCGCAGTCCACACGAGCGTTTGGCTACTCAGTCACACACACATGGCCACGTGCTCAGACACACTCAGTTGCACCCACGTGCACTTGCACACGCACACGCAAATAAACTGCCCAACGACACAAACTCATGCACACTCACAGGCCACATCCGGACATGGAGGCACACACTTAGAGGAACCCAAGCAGTATTCCTTCATAGCACCCCAGGGCATGTGTGCGTGCGCACACAAACACCTCTGCACATGCATTTCACCCATGGCAAGTCTCTCTCCCTCTCTCTCTCTCTCTCTCTCTCTCACACACACACACACTCACAAACTCTTTCCTGGGTTGCAGCCACACACAAAATCACTGTGCACTCAGACACACTCTTATACTCACCCCAAGCCTGCTCACATTTACTCAGTACACTCACATGTGTTCACACGCTCATGCTCACAAAGACTCACAAGAATACACTCATTACTGTATTCATGCAATCATGGCCATACACACACACACACACACACACACACACACACACACACACACTCTGTGCCCTCCCGGGTTCTCTGTGCAAGCGTCCAGCCCCCCAAGCCTGCACAGCACCCCACATTACCGAGGAAACTCTGACCTGGGTGTGGGTGGGGGCTGGCGGGGCAGAGCTCAGCCCGGGCACTGGCGGGTGGCTGTCCCCACAGCTCCCTGCCACCCCCGAACAAGGCCTGTCAGCAGCACAGAGAGCCTCGTGGCTCCGCGCAGGGACCCTGAGCTGGGTGCTTCCCTGAGTCCTAGCTCGCAGCAGCAGGTGACTGCCTCCAGTCGCCTGGCCTGTCTGTGCCTCTGTTTCCCCTTCTGCTTGCCGTGAGGGTGCAAGGCATTTGTAGAAGCCGGGGTTTGGAACCCGCCTGTCTCTTCTCAAGGTCACCCACAGTGCCGCCTGTCCCCTCCCTGCGCTGTCCACCCGCAGTCCCTTCAGAAGGTCCCACACCGGCCTGGGGACATTCCCCAAATGGCGGGGTGGGCCAGGGTGACGGCTCTCACCAGTGTCCTCTTGCTTCCTTTCCAGGCGGGCCCAGTGGCCTCACTGCTCAGGGCGGCAGAGCGCGTGCAGACTGCTCTCCTGCTGGGCACGTTGCCCGGGGGACCTCCGGCCAACCTGGCCACCCCCTCCATCTCTGTGTACGCAGACAGGTACCTGAGAAGCTCGTGCCCTGACCTCACGCCTTCTACAACCGCCTCCCAAGAGCCCGCGACTGGCAGAGCCGGGGAGGCTGGCCCTGGGCTGGGAAAGGGGGACCCAGACAGGACAGGCAGGGAAGGGCCCGGCACCCAGTGTCCAGGCCACTGAGCGAGTGAGGGACGGGGTGGGGACAGGGCGAGAAGGATGGGGCTTGCCCCCCGCTGTCCATGTCCTTCATGGGCCAAGGCCTGCATGGATGCACACTTGCTGGGGGGTCTCCCCACGGAGTGCCGCGGTCCCCGAGCCCTGACCACTGCCTGGGGACGGCTTCCTTTCTCTCCCCCCCACCAGACCAGCAGGACCTGTGCTGCGGCTCCAGGCATCAGTGCTCATCCTCAGGTCCTCCGGGTGCTCTCTTGGTTCCCAGGGTGGTTTCTGGCTCAGAACCAGGATCTGAAACAGGTCCCCAAGCGAATAGGACAGGACAAGGTCAAAGGGCAGAAAGGACGGGGCTAGGGAGCCGTGGGACCAAAGGTCAAGGCAGGTAGGAAAGATAAACCTAGAAAAATGGCACGTCCAAGCCGGGCCTGGTGGCACACACCTGTGATCCCAGCACTCAGGAGGCTGTGGCAGGAGGATCACCACCACGAGTTCGAGGCCAGCCTGGGCTCCATAGTGAGACTCTGCCTCAAAAAACAGAACCTGTGTTGAGCACCTCCTAAATGGCAAACACCGTAGCAGGCACCAAAGCTGGCAGAGCTCTGCCTTCCTGAGACCTCCAACCAGCGTGGGCGCCCGCTGCCCGGGTACCACTCCTGCCACCCCAAACACAAGAGCCTTCCAGAGAAAGGAGAACCCCGCTCCCGCCCTGCTGCAGGGCGGGCCGCTGACCTCCTCCTCTCTCCGCCCCAGGATACAGCCGAGGAAGTGGCGAGGAGCCTCCCTGCACATTGCGACTGCTAAGTCCGCGGCCTTCACGCTGCCCGCCGAGGCCCTCCGCTGTGCAGAGCACGCACAGGAGCCTGTGGACATCAGGGTAACGCAGCTGCGGCCTCCTTGGGGAGGGCAAGGCACGTCGCTGCTATCTGCTCATCCACGCTGGTGGCAGCGCTATCGGTGACCTAGCAGCTTTGCACCCATTTCACAGATGAGGCTCGAAAACTTGCCAAGGCCACAGCGGGGATTCACACCCTTGGCTCCAGACACCCAAATCCATCCTCTTCCCAGTGCGTTTTGGGGAAGAAAGACTCAGGGTTTCAAACCAAGTCTGAGCTGGGTGCTCCAAGGCCAGCCCTGTGAGGCCACAGTTCCACGGGGCAGAAACACACCCCCAAAGCCAGCAGCAGCCAGGGCTGGGGCCCCTGTCCACTCCTGACTGCCCAGGCTACCCGCCTGCCTCAGCTTACAGCATAGGGACCTGGTCACGTCCAGCCCCCCAGGGCCTCGGCTGACACCACCCGCTCTCGGTTCCAGATGATGAGCTTCCGGACGAGCCCCTTCCCAGCCGGCAGCGGGTTTGCTGTCAGCGGAACGGTGGGCAGCTTGTGTCTGAGCAGCCCCAGCGGACGGCTCATCCCTGTGAGGAACCTGTCCCAGAAGGCTGAGGTAGGAGTGGGGCACTGGGAAACAGACGGGCGGGCCTTTGGCTTCCTCAGCTTGGTTGGGACCAACAGTTGGCCAGTTATGCAGACAGCAGTCAGAGAGAGAATCACTCAAAATGATCCCTAACCTACCTTAGGCATCGCGTGTCACTTAAAGCCGTAAGTGTGCCATCCTTGGTCCGTCTTTTGGTGTGGAACAAGAAATCTTCCTCTGTATGTGCATCTGTTGATGGAATTTTTATCACCTTCATTGCATAAATGTAACTTCTAAAATTCCCATGTAGACCTAAATTTCTTTTTTCTTTTGCGGTGCTAGTGATTGAACCCAGGGCCTCGTGCATGCTTTCCTGCTGAGCTACACCCTCAGCCCTACATTTTCTTTAGTTAAGCAAAACAACATAAACCTGCCATGGTGCAATGCGAGGTCAGATTCTTCCAAGCTCTTCATGATTTTTTCCTAGTCATCAGCGGTTATCTTATCAATGACATTTTGTTTGTTGGTTGGTTGGTACCGAGGGCTGGACTCAGGGCTCTTGAGCTGAGCTACTGTCTCAGCCCTTTGTGGAGACAGGGTCTAGAGAAGCTGCCCAAACTGGGCTTGAGCTTGTGATCCTCCTGCCTCAGCCTCCTGAGTGCTGGGATTACAGCCATGGGCACCATCTGCAGCACTAAGGACTAACTGAATGACAAATTTTAGTGGTGTCCGTATGCTCCCCGCTGGAGCCTGATGCTACCAGGGACTTTGCCCGTGACCGGCTCAAGGGCGGGAGGTCTGACACGAGGTCGGCCTGGATGGGGCGTGGGCCCGAGGAGCCACCAAGGTCTCATAACATGACGATGATGGGGATGGAGGGCGCAGTGGCGACGGGACAGGAAGGGGGATTGGATGGCAGGTGCAGGGGGAGACACGAGGCCAGGCCGGAAGCCGAGGGAGGGGCATGACCTCCAGATGCTGGGATAGAGGGGGGCAGTGGGTTCCGGCTACTTCCGGAAGCTCTGAAAGGGGCGCTGGGAAGCTGGTTTTGACCTGAGTGCAGTGCAGCAGGCCACACCTGTGATCCCCGCACTTGGGAGGCTGAGGCAGAAGGATTGCAGCAAATCTGAGGCCAGCCTGGGCTACACAGTGAGACCCTACCATAGAAAAGCAGAAAGAAATTGATGTCAGAGTTCTGGCCCCCACAGCCGTGAGATGAGAACTCTGCCCTTGCTGACGCCACCCAGCTGTGCCTGTGGACACCTGCTATGGGCACCGCAGGGTGCTCTCAGGAGGGCGCACAGCGTGGATTCGGGTCCCTGGGGCCCACCCCGCCCAGCTCTGGACAGCAGCCCTGCGGCGGCCTGGGTGCACCTCCTTCCGGCTGCACCCTTGACGTCCTTGTCTCGCACAGATCCTTCTGCCTCGGCCTCCGGAGGGGCACACCACACCCAGCGTGTTGAACCTGACCGGAGCTGAGGTTCTGCAGGTGAACAGGACCTCCAGACGGTCGGCTCTGGGGGTCCAGCTGCACTGGGGACCCGGCGTCCCACTCACACTCAGCCTGGGCTACGGCTACCACCCCAACGCCACCAGCTACGACGTCCAAACCCGCCTGCTGCCTGCGGCTGCTCCAGGTACCCTTCTCCCTGGGCTTTTCTTGAGCTGCTTCCTAGGGTATGGCCACCTCCCAGGTGAGGATTGGAGCCAGGCATGGTGGTGCATGTCTGTAGTTCCAGCCCTGGGGAGGCTGAGGCAGGAGGATCCCTGCAAGTTTGAGGGCAGGCTATGCTACATAGTGAGCTCAAGGCCAGACTGAATTGCACAGCCAGACCCTACCTAAAAAATAAATTAATTAATTAGGTTGGAGTTGGGGTTCGGAGGCCTTGGGGGGAAAAAAAAAGAAAAAGAATCGCCTGCCGTTCAGATGAGCCGGCCACGTGGATCCTGGGCCCTGAGGAGTTGCCCTTCGGAGAAGGCATCTACTACCTGAGTGTGGTGCCCGAGTCTGACCTGGAGCCGGCCCCTGGCGAGGACCTCACCGTTGGCATCACCACCTTCCTGTCCCACTGTGTGTTCTGGGATGAGGTCCAAGAGACTTGGGACGACTCCGGATGCCAGGTAAGGAGAGGGAGCAGAGGGGTGCGGCTTGGCAGGGTGTGTCTGGCCCAGGGAGGGTCCCCTTCAGTGCCTCTGCTCTGGAGTCTTTGCTTTTCAGTTTTGATGAGGCAGGGTCTCACTACATAGTTCAGGCTAGTCTTGAGCTTGTGGTACCCTCCTGACTCAGCCTCTCATGTGCTGGGGTTATACCACCACATCCAGCAGGTACAGTGTCTTGTGTGCCCCAGGGCCTTTGCACATGCCACCCCCTGTGCCCAGAGTGCACCCCTTACTGTCACCTGCTTTCTGGAGAAACCTGTCCCTGACCCGTGACCTCTGGGACACACGTGTTCCTGCTCCACAGCACTGGGCAGTGAGATCCCCATGCCTCTAGGTTTGAGGTCGCATAAGTAATGCCCATTTCTCTCAGGGCACCAGGTCCACACTTGGCTTGCTACTGGGAATAAATGATTGTAGAGGAGTGGAGGCTGAGGCAGGAAGGCCTGGCTGTGGGCCACTAGGGAGGCCCGAGGTCCTCTCGAGGAAGTGAGCTCAAAGCCGCACGCTTTGTTCTGTACCAAGTGCTGGGTCCCACCCTCTGCTTCATCTCATCAGCTCTTCACAGCGATCCAAGGAAAGTTGCCATTTCCATTCCACAAACTAAAGAGCGCAGGCCTGGGCCGGGCGTGGTGGAGCAGGCCTATAACCCCAGCACTTGGGGAGGCTGAGGCACGAAGATCGCAAGTTCGGGTCCTCTGTGAGCACCTTAGCAGACCTTGTCTCTAAATAAAAATCAGGAAGAGGGTTGCTCAGGGAGAGGGCACTGGCTTGCGTTCCCAGTGCCTCCAAGAACCCTAAAAAATAAGAGTTCAGGAGACTCCAATCCCTCGCCCCAGGCCCGACACCTAGCGTGCGGGCGGGGGGGGCCTGGGACTCGAAACCAGATCTGTCTGTGTCCGCAGCGTGACCGTGGCATGCGCGGCGCTGTGTCCCCTCCCCCCCCGCCCCCCAGTTCCGCTGAGCCCTGACTGCTCTCGGCTTTGTGACCTGCCACCAGATCCCCGCCTCGGCCCACTCGCCTCTGCCCCAGGGAGCGGCGGCAGTGACACCAGGCTGCCGACAGATGGCGCTGAGGCCTCAGAGCGTCTCTGGGTGTCCCTGTCCCTCCCCCACACAAGTCGCCTGGGAGGCCCTTGCCCGATGCCCTCTTCCCTCCCCAGCCTCGCCCTCCTGCAGGGCCCCCCTAGCGCCGCCAGTGTCCTGCTGCTGGGTCCCGCAGCACCCGCTGCCTCCCTGAGGTCAGCAGCCTCCACATGGAATGGGGTTTATCACCTTCCGCCTCCATCCGGGGGCCACAGTACCTTCTTTTATTTATCCACCAAGTGATCAGGAGGCCCTGATGATGAGGATAGGACGGCAAGAGAGACCAGTGAGCTCTAGCTAGGCACAGCAGCCCATACCTGCAGCCCCAGCTCGGTGGGAGGCTGAGGCAGGAGGAGCACAAGTGTGAGCCCAGCCTAGGCAGCATAGTCACCCAGCAAGATCCTGCCTCAAAATTTAAAAAAAAAAAAAAAAGTAAAACGGCTGGGATGTAGCTCAGTGCAAAGGCCCTGGGTTCAGTCCCCAAAACCTATAAATACATACACACAGTGAGCTCTCACCTAGCAGAGGACACAGGAAGCAAGTGACACACACGAGTCTAAGGTCTGAGGACAGGAAGCCCTGTCCCCTGTGCCACAGAGCCCAGGGGAGGGAGGTCAGGGTGAGCTTCTGGCTGCCTGGCCTTGCTTCCGCCGCCACACACCGGAGGGCCCCAGTGCCCCAGGAAGAAACGCGGGCGCGCGGGGTGGTCCAGGAGACGAGAGAGCAGCCACCCCACGCAGACGGCGCAGCCTCTGCACCGCAGGCGCAAACCCAGCACGTGCATCCTTGCAGCGGTCCCTGCTGCCGGAAGCCATGTCGAGCCACATGGCAGGCAGGGAATGGCTGTACGCAGGGCCCTGGGCTCTAATGGCATCCAAGTGGGGCAGGGCTGGCGGCCTGGGCTCTGCCCGCGGGCAGACAAGGGTCAGCCCTGCACCAGCTGTGAGCTTGGATGAGTCACCCCACCTTGCTGGGCTTCTCATCTCTTTTTTCCTGTCTTTCTGAGACAGGGTCTCCCTATGCAGTTCAGGCTGGCCTTGAGCTCACCGTGTAGCCCAGGCTGGTCTCAAA